AAAGAAAAATGTATGGTGCCTACAGTGAAACATTGTGGTGGCAGTGTTCTTCTTTGGGCTTCATGAGTGCTGCTGGTGTCGGGGAGCTGCATTTCATTGATGGTATCATGAATTCACAGATGTACTTTTCTATATTAGATGCTACCATCACTCCGTGCCCTTGATCGTCGTGCCCTTTTCCAGCATGACAGTGATACAAAACTGAAGAACAGTGTGAAAGTGATTCAGTGGCCAAGTATGTCTCTTGATTTGAACCCAATTGAACACACCTATGGAGAATTCTGAAAAGACCTGTTGAGCATCACTCTCCATCCAGCATCCAGGCTCTAAAAGAGGTTATTCTTGAAGAATGGAAGAAGATAGATGTTACAATATGTTACCAACTTATTAATTCCATGCCTAGAAGACTTGGTGCTGTCCTTACAAATCATGGAGGTCATACAAAATACGAGATGGAGTAGTTTTTGTTGTGGGGTGTATTCATATTTGCATCAACTAATTTGAGTAAAACCTCAGATTTAAGTTATAAGTTGCATCATTAACCTTACTTTCATGTAATGAGCTAAACAAATGTTCTATAAAACTGTTTTGTGAAAATTTGAAAATTGTTCTTGTGTTCATTGAGATATTGATTAAAATCCTACTTTTCAAAAGGGGTGTACTCATTTATGCTGAGCACTGTATATGTGCTTTTTAACCCCTTGGCGCCAGCGCCTCCCAGCCTTTTAAGGGTTTCAGGGGGTGGGGTTTTAGGGACATATGACTGCCTTGATTTGCTGTCACGGTGGTCACATGATCGGGCAAGGTCCCGATCGAAAGAGGAGATCGGGACCTTTCCGTGAGTACCAGACATGTGTGTGGTAGCGCGCTGGGCGCGTGCTCTCAGCACATGTGTTTCTTAATTGCACGCAAATTTGCGGCTGCTCGGCATCAAGGTCCAGACACAGGGAGGCCGCACATTTGCGTATGGCCAGTGCCAAGAGTTTAAACAGTAAACAAATGTCTTTCTTCCAAAATTAATGAACGGTAACTCAAACATTTGAAATTAATTAGATCTAATTATTATACAGTATTTATAAAGCGCCAATAGTTCACTCAGCGCTGTACATTACAAAGGGGGACAGAACATGTGACAGAACAATACCAATACAATGTGATACACGAGGGGTTCGAGGGCCCTGCTCTTTCGAGCTTACAATCTAGAAGGGATGGGATAGTGGTACAGGAGGAGATAGCTGTGGGGGATGGAGTGGTAGGAAGAGTGGAGGAGGTCAGCAAGTTGGCAGGGGGTGAGGTAGGCTTCCCTGAAGAGATGGGTTTTCAGGGTGCGCCTAAAGGAGAGGAGAGTAGGTGATAATCTGATGGGTTGGGGCAGGGAGTTCCAGAGGATGGGTGACACCCTGGAGAAGTCCTGGAGGCGGGCATGGGAGGAGGAGACCAGGGAACTAGAGAGAAGGAGGTCTTGTGAGGAGCGGAGTGTGCGTGCTGGGTGGTACTTGGATATTAGGTCAGTGATGTAGTTCGGGGCAGTATGGTGGACAGCTTTGTACGTCAGTGTTAGGATTTTAAATTTGATCCGTTGTGCAATCGGAAGCCAGTGGAGGGATTGGCAGAGGGGGGTGGCGGAAATGGAGCGGTTGGAAAGGTGAATGAGTCTGGCAGCCGTATTCAGGATCGACTGAAGCGGGGATAGCCAGCGGCGAGGCAGGCCAGTGAGGAGGGAGTTGCAGTAGTCGAGTCGTGATATGATGAGGGAGTGGATGAGCTGTTTAGTGGTTTCTGGGGTTAGGAACGTGCGGATTTTGGCGATGTTGCGGAGGTGGAGTCTGCACGAGTTTGTTAAAGATTGGACTTGGGGCTGGAAGGATAGGTTGGAGTCCAGAATGACACCAAGTACTCTGGCCTGCAGAGCGGGTTTGATATTGGCGTTGTTGGATGTGATGTAGAAGTCAATGGGGGGTGGGGTTCGGGCTGGGGGGAAGACAAGGAGCTCGGTTTTGGAGAGATTCAGTTTAAGGAAGTGTGTGCGACATCCGATCTGATATGTCGCTCAGTAGGTGTGTGATTTTTGGGCAGAGACCGAGGGGTTGAGGTGGGGGGTTGAGAGATAGATTTGTGTGTCATCGGCATAGAGGTGGTAGTTGAAGCCGTGAGAGTGTATGAGTTGGCCAAGGGAGGAGGTGTAGATGGAGAAGAGAAGGGGCCCAAGGACAGAGCCTTGAGGGACCCCAACAGAGAGGGGGAGTGAGGGGGAGGTGGTAGCATTATAGGTAACGCTGAAAGAGCGTTGTGACAGGTAGGATGAGAGCCAGGAGAGAGCAGCAAATCTCTGAGGCCGAGGGAGTGTAGTATTTTGAGGAGGAGGGGGTGGTCAACTGTGTCGAAGGCCGCAGAGAGGTCAAGGAGTAGGAGCACTGAATAGTGGCCCTTAGCTTTGGCGGTTAGAAGGTCGTTGGAGAGTTTGAGTAAGGCGGTTTCGGTGGAGTGTAGGGGGCGGAAGCCAGACTGTAGGGGATCGAGGAGGTTGTTGTCGTTGAGGTGAGAGCATAGGCGGGTGTAGACGAGGCGCTCGAGGAGTTTAGATGTAAGTGGGAGCAGGGAGATGGGTCTGAGGTTGTTCGGGTCATTGGGGTCCAGGGAGGGCTTTTTAAGTATGGGGGTGATGTGTGCATGCTTCAGTGGGGAGGGGAAAGTGCCGGAGGAGAGGGAGAGATTAAAGATGTGGGTGAGGGAGCGTAGGATGGAGGGGGAGGGAGGTCGTAGGAATTGTGAGGGGATAGGGTCGAGGGGGCAGGTGGTGAGGCGGGCATCAGAGAGGATCTTGGAGACTTCCTCGATGGTAGTAAGGTCAAAGGTGTGGAGTGTTGGGGGAGCTTCAGTATGAGGAATGTAGGGTGGGGTGGGGTGGGGTGGGAGTGGAGGTCAGAGCAGTGGTGGGGCTGTGGGAGAGGGGTGATGAGGGGGTAGCTGAGTGAGGGGGGACGGGTTGAGAGGGCGTGTGAGTTGCGGCAATGTCCTTGCGAATTGTGTCAATCTTGTTTTTGAAGTGATTGGCAATCTCAAGGGCGGTGAGTGAGGTGCTGGGTGGGGGTGGGGGTGGAGAGAGTAGAGAGTAATGGGAAAACTGAGGATGCTTCTTGCTCTTGATAAGTTTCTCAAAGTCTGGGCTGATGGTAGGGGCATTACAGAGACCTGGGGGGGCACTTGTGCAGTCCAGTCTGCCCCAATACTTGAGAAACATTGATGTACGGAAAAAGCGGCTAACCTACTGATCATGTAGGTCTAATAATTTTAAAAGGGGGTTCCCTGAGACCTAAAGACTATTTCAAGGGTTCCTCCATGATAAAAAGGTTGAGAAAGTTTGGTCCAGAGTAAGAGCATTGTTCCATAGGTTTAAAAATGGTAGTAAATTAAAAAAAAAAAAAAGGCTTTATCTCTGCAAGGTAAAGGCATAATATGCTAGTGGGCAGCACAGTGGCTAAATGGTTAGCACTTCCGCCTGGCAGTACTAGGGTCGTTGGTTCGAATCCCAGCCACGGCATCTCCTGCCTGGAGTTTGCATGTTGTGCCTGTGTGGGTTTCCTCCGGGTACTCCGGGTTTCCTTCCACACTCCAAAGACATGCTGGTAGGTTAATTGGATCCTGTCTAAATTGGCCCTTGTATATGAATGTGAGTTAGGGACCTTAGATTGTATGCCCCTTGAGGGTTCGGGACTGATGTGAATGTACAATATATATGTAAAGCGCTGCGTAAATTGACAGCGCTATATAAGTACCTGAAATAAATAAATAGTATGTATCGCATTATGAAAGACTTACCTTGAAACAAAGCCCTCCAGCGGTGTGTTGTCACCGCTGCAGAGGCTTCCATCTTCACTATGTCTTCCTTCTGGGTTCACCGGCTGCAGCTGTTCAAATGGCGTCACTTCCGCGCATGCTCGCAGGAGTCATGGTCACGCCACAGAGCTCCAAAGGAATGGCATGGGTATGCCATTCCTTCAGAACGCATGCGTCGGTGACATCACCAGCTGCCAGCCAAGTGAATATCATTCAATATTCATTTAACCTACAGATAAATCGCCTTATAAGCTGTAGGTTAAAATGGCAATCTTATCACTTTAAGTAGATTTGTACGTGTGTGTGTGTAACATACATGTAGTGTATTCATACAATTGGGATGCAGCAGTTTGAAAGAATATTTTTGTAAGTTTGAGCATCAGGTTGGGTTCACATTTGTGCGATGTGGCAGTACACGTGTTGCCGTAAGGTATGTTGGGCAGCACATACATTTGAATGCATCTAAATCACACCAAATAAGTGCATGACTCTTTAAAAAAAAAAAAAAATGCACTGCACCAAAACGCATGATTCTTTGCCGTGTGTATTGCTGCATGATTCCTCATGCTGTTCAGCACATTCAGGTACATTGGGTGCCACTTCCAGTTAAAGACGTGGCTACAAAAGGGATACATGTTCTGTGTGTGGTGCAGGAACGTGTGTGTGTGTGTTCCTGCTTTGCACAAATGTGCAACTATCTTACTCTTTCAATGTATCTAACACCTGTAATTTATTACATGCCATGTACATTTTACACCGGATGTATCTTTTTCTGTAACTGCTCAGATAAAGTTGTGTTCCTCTTTTATGTGGTTGCTGGTAGAGAAGAGAAACTGGCTGCTTTGTGAGCGTTCCCCAGCTTTGGCGTGTAACTTGATCCATAGAGTGTAGGTGTAGCAGCTGTCAGGCAAATGACATGCTAGTCCATGAGAACACGCCCAGAAGGCAGCTGGGTCTGCTCCTCCCCCCTTTAAGTACAAAGCAGTCCTCAGACTTTCCAGGGCTCACATTAGTTGCAGCCAGGGAAGTATGCAGTATGGGAAGGAGCTGTGAGTGTTTCTTAGCACATCGGAGACTAGTTTATGAACAAGTAGCTGCTCCATACAGAGCAGAGCCTCTAAAGTGGATTAGCTGCGACTCCTGTGCGGGACATATTATAAAGTATGGTGGCTCATGATGAAATTGGAGGTCTGTTGCCTATCAAAAGGACTATTCAGGTCATAGCAGTTCAGAATCCAGCTTCGAAGGAGTTCGAGGTAAGGAAATATTTTCAATAACATTTTTGCTTTTAAGCTACTTTTTATATTTATCCTAAGTATAGGCTTCTCTGTAGTATCTGTGATCTAATGTGTGTACACTTCTGAAGACATCTCTCATCACTGCCAGTTGCTACATTAAAGTTTTAGAAGCCGGGTCGTAACATTTGTATTTGAGCTGAAGCCGTAGAAGTGTACATTTCCATTTTGTACACGGCTCAACAAGTGCTTGAATGTCCTGTCTGTAGCATCGTATATTAAGAGAGGAAGTGTTCTTGGGTTTGCATCCTGATTTCAAGGCACTTACTGCCTTCTTTATGTAGAGTTTTCAATGAAAATGTGCTTTCAGCTGTTGGAGAGTTGTTTAACTTGTGTGTTAAATTGGGAATCTTTTCTCCTTTTCCTTCTCAACAAAGCCTTGCTTTTATATCCCATTAAACTGACTTATCTAAAGTATCAGTTTGTGTTTTCTAGTCATTTCTTGTCTATATAATTGTTTGAAGTGAGGTTTTCCCTCAATGCATCCTTTCAAGAAAGGAACAAAGTGTTCGCTTGTGTTGAAGAATGTGTAGGACTACAAACTGGCTGCTGACAGTTTTCTATGATTTGTACTTTTTGTTTGTGTGGTTTTTTTTTTTTTGTTTTGCATTTTGTCAGTCTGTGGGTTATAGTTAGATTTATGCTGATTTTTTTTTAGTAAGCTTATGCTGGGCCCTGGATGCCGAGTGGTTGTGTGACTTTGCACTTGTCTATGAATGTTTGCTAAACCATTATAAGGGGCTTATTGTGCATAAATTGAAGTTCATATACGATAAATGTAGATGATTAAAGTTCGTAATATCTCAATGCAACCAACTTTTTTTTTTTTTTTTTTTTTTTTTTTTTAAATTTTTTTTCTATAGAAATTACTTTTTTTTTTTTTTTTTTTGTGTGCTGGTTTTTTTTTTTTTTTTTTTTTCTTTGCATTGTATGAAATATGTAACTGCAGTTTGGTAGATTTTTAATAAGCCTTTTTGTTTTTTTAATTGTCGATTTTACATTTTGTTCGAATGTATTTTCCTGCCGTTTTTGCTTACTTATGGTGCCTGCTAAAGATCCTTGACGTAGGATGAGATTCAGGCTAAACCAGTTTTCTAGGTTGCTACTATTTTTACAGCCTCCTGTCCTATAGAGCAAGTGCTTTAGGTCTTGATGGCAAACTTTTCTTTATTTAAAACAAGAGAACCCTTGTCTTCTACGAGCCGAATGTTAAAAATGTGCCCTTACGACTTGTGTTGGTTCTCCTGTAATGTGAAGCTGACATATGTGTCGTTAAGATGTTAACACCTGTCTTTCACTGGGCATAGAAAACCATTGTCCATTGTGTGGAGAACTTCTCTCTTGCTGTAACTTTAAAAGAGAAGTCAAAGTCCCAGGACAAATAAATTTGTTGTATGGATATCTTTACTCTACATTTTAGTCAACTTGTTGAGATTATTATATGTAAACACTTGCCATATGCTTTGTGTACTGTGATACATGAAAAATAAGTGCGATTAGTAGTTTTCTTTATTGGTGGCATGTTTGAAAAAAAATGTTGACTTGTGGTCCTGCATTTTTATTGCTGCATATTGTTTCTTTGACCTAAAGTTAGGTCGTTTGGACAGAGGGGCTTGTGATCAATGTTCCTTGATTCGTAGTGTAGATGACTAGCTCTCAAAGGGATGTTTATTGTATGTAAAACGTATTCGTAGCTGAATACATTGGAGTAGATCTGTTTGTAACACAACAATAGAACACCTTGTATGAGACCGGGCTATATCAGAATGTTTTCATGTCTGTGCGGCTATGTAGAAGTGTTTTAAACGAACGTTAAGTGTTAAGATTGTGCTATCACAATCATCCATGTTGCAGAACCTGCCCTTGTCTGTGACTTCTTCAGAGCTTGCAGACTACTAGCACAAAAATGCTTCAGAGGGTTTAAAGAGGAGCAACTCTTACAGATGATCATGGATTTTAAGAAGTTGTTTCTATAGGCTATTCTTTAGCTTTCTATGTTTGCTTGACTTTTAACATTAGTTCAGCTCCAGCTAATTCTGCAAACGCTTCACTTAGGAATGTTAGAGATGTTTCTGCATGAAGAGACTGCCCTTTGAACAGTTACTTGGATTACTTTTGTTGTTCTGGTTAATACAGCTTGCGTGCAGACAGACTAAACTGCATTCAGTCTGTATTGTCTACGTTCCAGTGTGTGCTGGTTAGCATTTCATATTTATTTGTGTTTGAGAATATCTGTGATTTGAGAGCATTTTTCTAGCTTCAGGGCATAAAAAAAACTATTTTGCTTCATCTTGATTAAAGCAATGTGTGTTTTTTTTGCTTTTGTAGGAACCCAGCAATAAGAGAGTACGGCCTCTTGCACGTGTAACATCGTTAGCAAATTTAATATCTCCTGTGAGAAATGGCGCAGTTCGGCGCTTTGGCCAAACTATCCAGGTAAATATCTAACTGGTGCTGTCGTATTATGTATGGTAAATAATTTTTTTTTAAACTACGACTATGTCACAGGAGTAAAGTAGTTCCATATACGTACAAACATTTTGTTCTGAAGCTTATCTTGGTGGTTGCAACATGATTTCCTATATATGAAATGTTAATATGTCTTAATGTTTTTTGAACAATGGCTTTCATCACAATTATGGATTTCTTTTTGATTTTCCCTATCAGTCATTCACCATGCGTGCTGACAACAAGTCTCCAAACAGTACAAGCAAGGCCTGTAGCAAGATGGCTGCCCCTACCCCTCCAAAAAGAAGGAATAGCATTCTGTGGTCTGAGATGTTAGATGTCAATATGAAAGAAACACTGAGCACCAAAGAAATTAAACGACAGGAGGTATATTTTGAGCTAAGCCTTACATTTAATGTTAATGGCACAGTTAATCACAGATTGTAACACCATTTAAGCTGAAGGAAGCAGGTGGAAATAGTTTAGTTTGTATTGTTAAGTGAATAATGGAGAAACACCTACTGGTGTGAAATGTATCAAAAGGAGAGTAAACCACGTGTAAAGTAGGTTTTGATAAAGTTGTTGACTTTACTTTGAGAGACTCCTATCTGCTCAGGGTTGACTATTTGAATAAAAACTAGTCTTTGTGGTAGTAATCTATTTTCCAGTTGGCTCTTAGATCTTGAAATCATGATTATATTCTCACACATGCTTTTGATTGGTTTAAAGGCTATTTATGAAATGACCAGAGGGGAGCAAGACCTGATTGAAGACCTCAAGTTGGCAAGAAAGGCCTACCATGATCCAATGTTGAAACTATCCATTATGTCAGAGGAGGAGCTTGCACAGATATTTGGAGACCTTGATGCTTACATACCTCTACATGAAGGTATGTCAAATCTATACCAGATATGTTTTTATCCATTTATCTCTTCTTGCATGTGTTTGAATGTCTTCATTTTTTTCCCCTCCTTTTTTATTTCAGAATTTCTTGCAAAACTTAGAGATGCAACAAGGGCAGACGGGACTGTTGGGCAAATCGGCCATATTCTTGTTAATTGGGTAAGTGTTGCAGGCATTTCAGTTGCTAATCCTGTATTTTATCTTGCATCCATGGTTTTCAGGAACAAAAAGTTAAATATTGCTTTACATGGTGTTTTTTTTTCTGACATTGTTATGCATACAGCTAACCAGGACAATGTATTTTGTGTCACCAGCTACCTCGTTTAAATGCATACAAGAGGTATTGCAGTAACCAGCTTGCTGCCAAAGCTCTGCTAGACCAAAAGAAGTTGGACAGGCGTGTTCAGGACTTTCTGCAGCGATGTCTGGAATCGCCATTTAGTCGCAAGCTAGACCTCTGGAGCTTTCTTGATATTCCCAGAAGCCGCTTGGTGAAATATCCCCTGCTACTGAAAGAGATTCTTCGACACACTCCTAACGAGCATCCTGATGGCAAGAGTTTGGAAGAAGCTGTAAGTTCACACAGAATATGCTTCGTTTAATCAAATGGCTTTAGGATTTACTGATTGTTTGGGTTTTTTTTTTTTTTTTTTTTTAATTCTAATGCCCATGTCACACTATTGATTCTTCTGCTAGCGACACCTCATCTGCTGCTCTATTGGAAACTGAATTCCAACTCCACCATAATACTGCAGAATTTTGAACTCTAGCAAGAAAGACACTATAAGAGAAGGTGTGTGGCCAAAATCACTAGTGTGACATGGGATGTATGTTTGTAGCCTTATGCATTACCAAAAACATCTCACAATCCTTGGCACTAGAATTTTTAACGATGAAACCTATTTGCATTCTGATTTTGTGTCACTAAAACAGTTTGTATTATTTTGCAGCTGTGCTTAATCCAAGGAGTGCTTGCAGACATTAACTTGAAAAAGGGAGAGTCTGAATGTCAGTATTACATTGACAAGCTGGAGTATCTGGATGACAAACAAAGAGATCCCCGGATAGAATCAAGCAAATCCCTTCTATGTCATGGCGAGCTGAAGAATAAAAATGGCCATGTAAGTGATCTTAGGATAATATGCAATCAGATAGTACAGATGGTTTATCTTTGATAGATTGTATGGTGACTGGATAAGCAATCGATCACTTTAGCAGTGCACATTTCCTGCTTGTGTGACACTTTACACCTGCTGTAGTGATAGGGGATGTCGTCTTACCTAAACTATATATCTAAAAAGAAAGCAGGATATCACTTAAGTCTTTTAAAATACAATCCTACATTGCAAAACAGCACAATTCTCAATTCTATTGGTCACAGCAAAGTACATCTTTTATAGTATTTCCAGTGTGCTATGACAGAAATGTATATTTGTTTGATGAAGCAGTATATCAAACTGCACTTGTTATATATAAGATTTTCATTTGCAAAGTAAACATTGGGTTTAGCCAGAGCGCAAAACTAAATAGAATACAAAGGCTTAAGTAATCGTTCAGATATGCCTTCAAAGTCTGGAAGTTATGAGTTCTAAATTCTTTTAAGTCTTATTTTCCTTTTAGATTGTTTCAAATAAAATGCATAAATATTGAAAACTTCTAGTTCTTGGAGGAATCTTCTTATATTTTATTTGGACTGAAAGTAGAGCTATTATATTTTTGCTCCTAGTAGGTTTTGTTTTGTATTACAAAGTCCTTTTTTTTTTTTTTTTTCTTCACAGAAGCTGTACCTCTTCATGTTTCAAGATATTCTGGTTCTAACACGTCCGATTACACGGAACGAGCGTCAGTACTATCAAGTGTACAGACAACCAATTCCTGTCCGTGAGCTGGTGCTGGAGGATCTTCAAGATGGTGACGTGAGGATGGGTGGCTCCTTTAGAGGGGCCTTTAGCAATTCAGACAAAGGTATGCTTAACATTTGGATGTTTGTTGTTTCTAAAATATTGCAAATAATGTATTCTTACACACAACTACGTAACTCCGTCTTGATGTCCGCTTCCTGTAACCTCTGCAGAGCAGTACTCTTGACTGGGAGAGGGAGGGGCAGCACTAAGAGCCAATCTAACTCTTTTACATAAACAGGCTGAAAGCGTGAAAAATCAAAGTTGACTTATCAGCATTACCCCATTGTAAAATAGCAAGATTTGAGTGGGGAGATGACACCAATATATTCCTTAACACTTAACAGAAAAAAATGTCATCCTCCAGGGTGGTCTGTCTAGCAGAAGTGTTCTAATTCTATCAAGTCATTTTTGTGATTCAAAGTAATTTGGCAGACAACACAGTTCATACTTTTATAACCATGCATTTAGCTGTTTGCCAGGAGTTAAACTTTAAAAATAATTACTGCCCTAGGATATTGTGAAAGTATCAACAATGACTATAGCTCCTGCCTTTTAAAGCCTTGGTCACGCTTGAACTGATGATAGACATCAGATTGACCATTGTAATGGTCTGATGGCTATAAAGAGCTTCACACACCTGACCTTATATGACACATATGTTTATATATTGGCACAGGCATGCACACCTGGTGTCTCATCTTGGGAACAGTTCTCTTATGAAAAAATCAAGCCTGGCTAATCTATCCAAAGTGATCTTTTGGCTAGGGGTATATTTAGAAATCTGAAGATTTCATAGATAAAAATGTCTGAATTTACTGATTTTCTGAAATATTTATGGGATACCTTTTTTAATGTTCAGACACAAGTGTGGTGTGTGTGTTTTATTTTGTGCAACGTTGTGTCATGCCGAAAGCTTGTAAAACCTTATTGTTTTACAGCACAAAGATTTGAAAGTGATTTTTTTTCTTTTTTCCTTAACTAAATTTTTGGATAATGGGTTCACCTTCTTGTAGTGGGGATAAGTATGCTTAAGGGAGGTAAAAAAAATGTGCATTTACTATTTTTTGTTTTGTGAGCCGGAAAAGCATTACATCTGCTGATCGCTGGTGCAATGCAGACTCCTGCAGACCTGTCAGTGTAACTGTGTGCTCATACGGAGACACAGATACACCCTGACAGGAAGAATCAATGAACTACCACAGCGCTGTGGTAGTTCATTGAGAACTACAAGCCAACAGCCACAAAGGCGGTTTCAGGACTTATAGTTTTCCCATTCACAGAATACTGTGAGTGACATGGGCGGGCAGGCAGGCAGAGCCCCGCACGGCCACATTTTCTTAAAATTGTGATGGGGAGAAGATCCCCCATTAGTTGTCACAGCGGGGTTCGGTTCTTTTATAACATGTTACACCCTGAATATAGATGAACTTTATCTTTTTAATGCACTCTTGACCGTTATGCATCTTCAGAATCTATACTTTAAACACTGTGCATTATACCTCTAGTTATAGTTGAAGTATTAGACACATTTTAAAGGCAAAATATTTGTATCATCTTTTGTCTAAATTTGTACTCCTTTTTGTTTTTTACATTTTAGCCAAAAACATCTTCCGAGTTCGGTTTCAAGAAGCTTGCATAGGCCAGAGTCACACTCTCCAAGCCAATGATGTCTTTCACAAGCAGCAGTGGTTGAACTGTATCAGAACAGCCATTGTCCCATATCAGAATGCTTCACCAACTGAACTAAAAGAACTCCCTGACCTCAGTGAGGAATGTGAAGAAAATCATCCCCCAGCTCAGAACACAAATGCCCAGCGAAGGTCATCTACCATATCTGGCATTGTAGAAATGGACCTTGAAGAAAATGCAGACAGCTCTGTTGTGGGCTCACCAGAAGATCCGAAGCCAGGGAAACTCCAAAGAGCTTTGACAGGAAGCCGGAAAACTCGAGACAAAACACAACAGAGCATTAAAAGAAAAGAAACATTAGTATAAGTGGGAAAGTGCCCTTTGGCTGGACTTGTTATTTATACATATGTATATTTTTATCTTTTAATGTGAGCATACTGGGATTTTTTCACTGATCCTACTGTATTTGTTACTCTCCCAGTTCCCTTTCAGTGGCAGCTACTGGTATGCAGTTAACACTGTGTTAAAATCAGAGTCTGTTTTTTTTTTTTTTGTTTTGTTTTTTTCTCCAGGAGGGGGGATGCTGGTTTAAATAATGAAGAATGCTGCATTGACATCAGTTTTTGTTTTTTGTTTTTTTGTTTTTTTTCCTGCGTCCATTTGAAAAAAAATGTTTTCTGTCTTTTGAAGTGCAGAATTATTTTATAAATAACCTCACATTTGTTGGAGACTGCATGCAATGTGGAAGATTCCAAGAGCAAAGTGATATCAAGTAACTATGGCTATATTTGGTGTTTTTGTTTGGATTTCCCTGGCAGCAAACCCTTGAAAATTGCTGCCTGTAACCTGAGCCAGTTGATTATTACAGAATGTCCCGGCCCATTCTACAGCAATCTCACATGTTCGTGTAAAAAAAACAGACTCTGAGGTTAACAGGTTATTCATGTTACCTACTGGAATCATTTTTTTTTTTCTTGTTTACTGTACATTCCTTTTGTGTGTTTGCCAAGTATTTAATTTTTTAATGTAGTTTAGAGGGTTTTTAATCAGTTTTATTGTATTTTTGAAGATTTTAAAGACTGCATTTTGATTCCCCAAATGCATTTTTTTTTCTTTCAAGCAAAACATTTTCAGGGCAGATACAGAAATATTGTCAGGCGTTTTTCATTCTTCCTTCGGTTTAAGAAGGTTTAACGTTTTTTTTTTTTTCTTTTTTGTGTGTTTTAAGGTTTTAGAGAGAGATGTAGCTGATAGTGAAGGAGTTATGTGCTGTAGAGTTGATGACTAATGAATTATTGTGTTATGGCAAGCAGACTTTAGGCCAGAGGTCCCCAACAGGTGGTGTATGAGAGCCAGATCACTCTTGGCTACCAGCCATTTTTTAGGCTAATCCTGGTTTTATTGTAGCTCCCAGGCTACCACAGGTTGGGACCTCTGCTTTAGGAATTATGGGCCATGTATATGGCATACGTAAGATGTAGACGGTTCTTGTATGTCGTAGAAGGTCAGACGGTATGTTTTGAACAGACTAACAAAGGTGTTTAATATAGTTTATGTGAAAGGTACATGTTACCAGATGTTATCATGATGGTTAAAAGAAACTAATGATACTGTAATAAAGGTTTTTTTTTTTGTTATAATTGGTCAATGAGAGTTGTAAAGAAATTCTCTGCCCATCTTATTTACTGTGCTGTTATCTGCATATACTGTAAATATTTTTTTTTTTAGTATCTTGAATATATTAATGCATTGTTGGGAACTTGGTGACTGTACATAAATTAAGTGCATGTTTTTTGTAAATTTGCCTGTACAGGTATAAGTCTTCAAATACAATAAAAAGATATCCCTCGTCTGATTTTTAGGTGTGAAATATGTACTTTAGGTTAAATTATGCTCACAAACTTCACCACTTTAGTTACCGAAAAGCTGCTTGAAGCAAAATTCCAGGCGGGAGCTAGGAAGGGTTAGAATGTTTGTGTCCTTGCAAGAGGGGATACCTACCAAATTCTAACCCTGGTGGCACCTGGACAAAAAAAATCAGAGGAGGTCTTTGCACTATTAGAAAGCTTCCCCCTCTTAACAAAATTTTGTGATTTTAAAGGTTTTGGCTAGGTTTAGGTACCAAGGAGTATTGGGGGGTATTTATCAAAACTGGAGCAGCTATGCATGGCAATCAGTTGTATTCTAGCTTTCCTTTTCAAAGCCTAAGTGAACAAGCTGGAGATGGATGGTCATTGGTTGCTATGAACAGCTGCTCCAAATTGTGCCAGCTCCAATTTTCCTAAAATTCCCGCCACTTTTTTATTTAAATGAATATATCAACACAAGTGTTCATTTTGTACTCTGTAAATTGTAGTTAATGTAAAACTGTCACCTTTGCTGCACAGCTGGGTTTGTTAAAGTTGAAAAACAGATGTACTGGCTGGATTACCTGGCAATAAACAAAGTTACAGGGGGACAGAAAAACAGACTCCTGTGTTAATGCTAGTGAAAGATATGTCATTTTTGAGTCTGGCCATAGCTACACTTTAACTTCTTCTGCTTTGAACCCATTTGTGCCAAGTAAACTCATTGAAGTATAACTACAGGCAACCTTTTTTTTTTTTTTTCCCCAACATGTTTTGGACTTCGTGGAGATGGATTAGAAAGCCTATTAGGTTTTTATTGCAGCTGGTGCACACGTTAGAGAAATGCACCCTCTGTTTACCATTATCCATAAATGTAAAGAAAATCCCATTTTGAGTTGTCCACAGAAAAGTATTGGAGGGGAAATTTTCCAATGGGGATACTAGTTCTGGTTACTGGGGGTCCCCAAGGAATTCCCTTAATTTGTGAGGATTATCTCTCACTTCCTGTTTTGGCTGTAGGACAGGAAGTGAAGGTAAATCTCAATGGGACACAAATGACAAAAAGTAAACTGAGACAAGGTATAACATTCCCTTACCTATCCAAAATGAAAAGAGAATTTTTTTTATTTTTTCTTCTTTAGTTCTAGTTTAAGTAAACATATATACACTCATGGCCACTTTATTAGGTACACCTTTCTGGTACTGGGTTGGACCCCCTTATACCTTCAGAACTGCCTTAAAGGATAAGTTCACCTGTTAGAAAAAAAATTAATAAATGCACTTTTTTTTTTTTTTTGCAGGTAAAAAAAAAATGTGCAGTTATTTTTGTCTGCAGGAGTAGATCACTGATGCCATGCAGGTCTCTTGCAGACCTGTCAGAATATCTGCTTGCTCGTACATCCCGTAGGCAAGTAGATATTCTGACAGGAAGAATGAATGAACTATCACGGCGCTTCACAGCACCGTGGTAGTTCATTGTGGACTACAAGCTGAAAGCCACTAAGGCTGTTGGGACTTGTAGTCTCATTCACAGATGACTGTGAATGAGTGATGCGGAGCCCCGCACGGCCACGTTTTTGTTTTTTAATTTGACAGAGAAGGGGCGAAAAGATCCCTCTGAATATGTGTGTAACATGTTAAGGGAGGTAAACTCATCCTTTAATTCTTTGTGGCATAAATTCAACTAGGTGTTGAACATTGCTTAGAGATTTTGGTCCATATTGACATGATGGCATCACGCAGTTTCTGCAGATTTGTGGGCTGCACATCCATGAACCATTGATACAAAGCAGGATGGATCCATGCTTTCATGTTGTTTATGCCAAATTCTGACGCTACCATCTGAATGTCACAGCTGAAATCGAGACTCATCAGACCGGGAACATTTTTCCAATCTTCTATTGTCCAATTTTGGTGAGCCTGTGAGAATTGTGTAGCCTGTTTTTAGTTGATATGAGTGGCACCCGGGGTGGTATTCTGCGGTTGTAGCCCATTTGCTTCAAGGTTTGACGTGTTGTGTGTTCAGAGATGGTATTCTGCATACCTTGGTTGTAAGAAGTGGTTAGCGTTGCCTTTCTATCATCTTGTACCAGTCTACCCATTCTCTGAGATCAGCAAGGCATTTTCAACCCCTACAACTGCCGTTCACTGGATATTTTCTCTTTTTTCAGGCCATTCACAGTCAACCCTAGAGATGGTTGTGCATGAAAATCCCCAGTAGATCAGCAGTTTTTGAAACTGGCTAAGACCAGTCTGTCTGGCACCAACAACCATGCCACGTTCAAAGTCACTTAAACCTCCTTTCTTCCCCATTCTGATGCTCTGTTTGAACTTCAGCAAGTCATCTTCACTACTTCACTATAGCAAGTGGCCCAGTTGAGAATTTTCTGTGCTAAATTTCTCAGGGCCCATTCACATTGTTCTGGTGCGTTGTGTGTCCTGTTGCACCATAACGTTCGTTAAAGCAGTCCATTCAAAGTAATGGGCTGCTAGCGCACCGGAATGAACCAAAGATAGTGTACTGTGGTGCCCTTCAATGTATTTGCGTTGGAGGTATATTTTGGTGTGTTGCAGTGAAAGTAAATGGCAATGCACTATTGTAGATATGTAAATAGGCCATTGAAAACTCCCCATGTAGCCTAACCTTTGCATGCAGCTTTAACTAAACCCCTTGGTGATCCTTTGGCCTACCTCATCAAATAGTTGTAAATACAAACCTTAGATGTAAACAGGAGGTGGTCTCACTGCTGCATCCTGCCAGGATTGGACAGTTTTTATAGCCAGCAATTTTACAATCTGCTTTAAAATGCTGGATGTATGTATTTCCTGTCCATAGACATTTTCAAAATGGCCTATTATATGTTAAAGAAAGGGTACAGTGAAGGAAATAAGTATTTGATCCCCTGCTGATTTTGAATGTTTGCCCACTCACATAGAAATGATCAGTCTAAAAATCGAATGGTAGGTGTATTGTAACACTGAGAGACAGAATAGCAACAAAAATTCAAAAGAAATACATGTCTAACAAATTATGCACTTATTTGCATGTTCATGAGGGAAATAAATATTTGATCCCCTATCATTCAGCAGGATTTCTGGCTACCAGCTGAGATTAGAAGCAGTATCTTAAAGGGAGTGCTGCTAATCTCATTTTGTTACCTGTATAAAAGACACCTGTCCACAGGGGCAATCAATCAGATTCCAAAGAACCAGCAAACACAAATGCTCCTGCGCTTGGGGATGGGCTCGATGCAGGCTACAACCACAATTAAAAAAATTAATTTTTTTTTAAAAAAAAAAATTTTCCCTATATATTTATATTTCCTATGCTTCCATGTTTATGCATACACACGTATACCATACACTATACCGATTTTACCAGATATTATACTATATGGTAACAATACTTATTTCATTTTATTTATACTTTGTAAACCATATTAAGAAGTTTTTTGTAACGTTTTATATTAACATTTATGTTTATACTAGTGATTTATCTCCTTTTTCCCCGTAGATAGT